CTAGATCAAAAGTTACCTACCCCAACTGGGTGTGGTGGCTCCCACCTGGAATACAGCGGCTCAGGAGGCTGAGGCAGGAGGATCTCAAGGTGGAGGCCAGCCTCCGCCACTTAGCCAAGCCCTCAGCAACTCAGCGAGACCCTGTCTCTAAATAAAATAGGACCAGAGCCTCTGAAATCTTGCTGCTGCAGAGAACCCCCTGGGATTTACCAGGGAGTAAGACATGAACCCCCATAAACTGATAGTCCTGTGCCCCATGAGCACTGATGGAAAGTCCCCCCATGGGTCTCTTTCCAGCCGGACGCCCCAAGACCAGTGCTGCCTGTTATAAATGTGTCCGCAGCACATTGTGGAGCTACAGTGATTTAAAATATTAACTCTCTGGCAGAACAAGCTCTTCTACCTTGATCATCTTTTCCCAACTTGTTTTTGGAGATGGATTTAGAATCACTTTGTCAAACTTCCCCAACCCTGTTCCCAGCCGGAAAAAGAAAGACAAAATCTGCTCAGCTCTTTTTTGGGAGAAGTGCATTCTTTTGAATACATTCAGTCCTCTCAAATGCCACCCTTTGATTTTATTTTCTAGTTGTGGATGGACACCAGGCCTTTATTCTACCTCTCTGGGCTGCCGAGGATCGAACCCAGGGCCTCGTGCGCCCCAGGCGAGCGCTCTGCCCCTGAGCCACAGCCTCAGGCCCTCCAACGGCTCCTTATTTGCTTTTTCTGGAAATAATTTCCAACCCCCTTGGAAAGGTGTCAAGGGCAACACAGAATCCCCGTATTTTCTGTATTTTTTAGTCGTAGATGGACCCAGGCCTTGATTTTCTCTCTTTATTTCCATGCGGATGGAACGTGCGCTCTGCCGCTGCGCCCCAGCCTCGTCCTTGACAGTGACCTTTTAGGAGAACACCAAAGGCGTGACCCGGCAAGACAGAAGCAGGGACAGAGGAGCAGGAGGTCAGGGTGCACCTCACCAGGAACCCAGGGCCTGGTGGGGTCCAGGGGTGTCGGACCTGGTGGGGACAGCATGAGCAGAGCCCTAGGAGGTGACCAGGGAGGAACAGATGTGGCCAGGGCTTGGCTGGAATCGGGCCAGCCTTAGTGACCAGTTAAGGTCCGGTTCTGTGTCTCTGGGTGACAGCCTTCTCCCCGGAGCCGGTGACACTGCAGCCCCTTTGTGCACCCGAGTGGCCGACTGGAGGGGACAATGCTTAGCACCCTCGCGCCTGGGCCTGGGGCCTTGGCACAGTGCAGACAGGCGCACGCGCTCCACTGGTGGGTGCCCAGGGTGGCCATGGCAGAGCCTGGGACAGGCCCGAGAGGCTGTGTGTGGCTCCTTTGCCAGCCCTCAGTGGCGGGCACCAGCTGCCGGCAGGGTCTCCTGGGCACGTGGGTCCCCCCCATGGGGCTGGAGAGCCTGGCAGGGACTCCAGCCCAAGAGCAGACACCCCAAAACTGCAGGGAGCAAGAGTGAGCCACTGAAGACAGCTAAGAGGGAGGGGGCCGCTGTGGCCCGGGCCAGGAGGCTGGGAGGCTGGGAGGCCAGTAAGCCAGGAGGCCAGACCCGCCAGACCCTCGCCAGGCCATGGTGACCTCAAGTACATCAGTACAATGCCGTCTCCAGCCCGAGAAAAGCAGCAAGAAGCCAGAGCCCGGGTGGCACTTAATTATTAATGCCCAAGCTCAGCGTATTGACGGAATCCCTGTCCCTGCTCAGCGTCACGGGAGGACAGACACCAGAAACCAACACTCCTGTCTCACGGAGGGACAGCTTCCACATGCCCAGCCTCAGCTTGCTGGATTGGTGCTTTTTGGGGGGACACCAGGGATTGAATCCAGGGGCCCTCGAACCCTGAGCCCTGTCCCCAGCCCTTTTTCTATTTTATTCAGAGACAGGGTCTCGCTGAGTTGCTGAGGGCCTCGCTCAGTGGCTGAGGCTGGCCTCCAACTTCCGATCCTCCTGCCTCGGCCTCCCCAGCTGCTGGGAGGACAGATGTGGACCACTGTGCCCAGCATCTTTTGTTTTTTCTCTAACCAAGGAACAAAGACGGGCCGCCTCTCCTCCATCCTCTCTGTGGCCACCAGAGCCCCTGTGTCCTGATACATCCTCCCGAGAGCAGTCACCTCCTGGGCCCTCCCACAGGCCACCGCTCTGGGCTGGCCACCTCTCCTGCCTGCGCACCAGGGCAGCTGGAGGCCCGTGGTGATCCCAAGTGGCATGTTGATCGATGGCAGGATCTCTGGGTTCCACTTACGCAGGCTGAGTGACACCTCGTCGATAGCAGCCAGTTAACTAAGTCCTGAGTCACCAGCTGGTCCCCTGAGCGCCGCAGCGCGGGCCTCGGGTTATGGAGGAAGCCCCTTCTGAGCAGGAGATTGGGCCTGACGAAGACGGATTGTCTGGTGGCCCTCGCAGGCTCCTGACTACAGCCTCTAATGAAAAGCCTCACCGTGGACGTCCCCACAGCTGCTCCTCTGAAATTAGAGCTCAGGAGGACACAGGATGGCCCAGTCCCCACCAGGCCACTGTGATCAGACTGATGTCAGCAGCGATAATGGAAGGAGGATGAGTCGACGAGATTCCATTTATTCTATAAAGTGAGGAGAGCGCTCAGAGGATCTGGGACGCACGTGTGAGCAGGCGTGGGTGCCCTGGGCCGCGGGAGTCACCGGAGGGAGACAGAGACAGTCACCCAGGTTGGTGCGTGAAACCGTCTCTGCCCAGCAGGGCCCTCCCTTTCCGGACCCTCCTGATGGCCCTGCGCTTGGAGTCAGCAAGCTTCTGACCCCTGAGCCCTGTCCCCAGCCCTATTTTGTATTTTATTTCAGGACAGGGTCTCGCTGAGTTGCTGAGGGTTGAGGCTGGCCTCCACCTTGCGATCCTCCTGCCTCAGCCTCCAGAGCCACTGGGAGGACAGGCGTGGGCCATCATGCCCGCGACTGAACCAGCTCAGGGTATTGGAAGAAGGACTCTGGAAGCCCTGAGTCTGGGGTTCGGCCTCCCAGGGCTCCTCTCCAGAGCCTCCTCTCCCCCAAGGGCTGCCAGGACCTCGTCTTCCTGCAGGGGCACCCCCATCCCAGGCCCTGCTGGGCCTCAGCCTCCGTTGGCCACGCTGAGTGGCATGTCACAACACAGACCATAAGAGCCTATGAGGTGAGGTGACATCAAAGGCAGGCCCTGAGCCACTCAGCGAGACCCTGTCTCTGAATAAAATACACAGCAGGGCTGGGGAGGGGCTCAGGGGTCGAGTGTCCCCAAGTTCAATCCCTGGGACCAAAACAAAAAAACAGGGTCTCGGGGGGGGGGGGGTGGCCCAGGACACCTGCCTTCCCAGGTGCCTTGCCCAGGCGGGCCCTGCCACCTCAGAGAGGACACCTCCTTGGGGAACTGTGCTCTGCCTTCCCAGCCTTTTTGAGGACAAATGGGTGAAATTTCTTCCAGTTGACATTTGCCCACCGTGGGCCTCCCATTGTCCCTGATGAGTCCCGGGGGACAGAGGCCTCTGCAGTCCCAGAGGCGACACTGGTCTGAGGGACAGATCTCACACAGCCCAGCTCCCCCTGCCCTTGGGACGCGCAGGGGCCTCGTCCAGGCACCCAGGACTAAGGGAGCAGAGGACAGCAGGGGACAGGGCCCCACGAGGCCCTGGGCGCGGGGACACACGATCAGGCCACTCCTCTGCTCACTTAAAACCCACAGTGAGTCTCAGTGCGCCTCCTGTCCCACTGTGACATTCATTGGGTCACAGCTGTGGCTCCAAGATGACGGCCGCGTGCCCCTCCCAGGGCACCTTGTGGAGACCCGTCAGCCCACGTCCAGTCACTGAGAAGAAACTTCCCCTGTGCCTCTGTCTGAGGCTGGCCTCTAACTCAATCCTCCTGCCTCAGCCTCCCGAGCTGCTGGGATGACAGCCAGGAGCCAGACCTGGGGTCCCCCGATGGCAGAGCCCAGACACCTTCTCAGCAGGAACCTGCGTCCTCAGGAGGCTCAGAGTCCAGAAGACCAGCTTGTAAAGAAGAGCAGAAAACAGCCGGGCACAGTGGCCCACGCCTGTCCTCCCAACAGCTCAGGAGGCTGAGGCAGGAGGATCGCAAGGTGGAGGCCGGCCTCAGCAACTTAGCAAGAGCCTGTTTCAAAATAAAAAATAAAAAAAGTTGCTCAGTGGTACAGGGCTGCTGGATTTTATCCCAATACCACACACACACACACACTCACACACTCACACACACACTCACACACTCACACACACACTCACACACTCACACACACACACACACACTCACACACTCACTTGTGGTTTCCAAAGCTACTTTAATAACAAAAGAAGATCGTAAAGTACCTCAGAATATTACTAGGGTTATTTCTAAGAAATGTGAGTCAGAAATTCTTTGGCTTCCTCTTAGGCATTTCTAGAGATTTCCAGGTTTCATTGTTCTGCAAATATCCATTTGTCTAGATTGCGACAAAAAAGAGTGTGGCATGTTTACGTAACCGTGTGTGGAAACCCCGTGGTCGGAGTCCCAGGTTACCAGCCTCAGCCCAGGGAGGCTCTGTCTCTAGACAAAATACACAACAGGGCTGGGGACGGGGCTCGGGGTCGGGTGCCCCTGGGTTCAATTCTGATTTAAAAAATAAATTAACTGATTGATTAAATCAAATTCAAATGAGGATATTAAAAAAAAGAAAAGCCTTCAGGAGGCAGCTGACCGGAGGCTGGCCTCCAACGCGCAGCTGCCCTTTGCCACCCTGGAGACACACCGCCCACTGTGGAGCCCACAGCCCAGTTCCTGTGCGTGTCACCTGTGGGCAGGGGCCTCGGCCACCAGCCCAGGCCTGACCGCCCCGTCCTCTAGCTTTGGAGTGACTCTGATGAACAGGACGGGCCTCGGTGGCTTCGCTGAGCCTCTGGCACGTGGGTGTCGAGGGAGGCCGAGCGCCTTGGCTCCCTGTCCTCTGGGCAGCCCGGGTCACCTGGCCTTCCCTGCTCTGTCCCCCGCAGGCCCCGCAGGGTGGAGCCCGTGTGCTCGGGCCTGCAGGCCCAGATCCTCCGCTGCTACCGTGAGCACCTGAGCGAGGTGCTGCGCTGCTCAGACCTGGTGAAGGCCTACCAGCACTGCGTGAGCGCCCACAAGGTGAGCCACCCGCTCCCCGCGGGCCTGGGACACGGCCCCAGAGCCCTCACGTTCCACCCTGGCCAGCTGCGTCCTCCCTTCCAGAAGGTTCTGCCCTGTGCAGACCCAGGAGCAGGCGTGAGGCCTTAAGGCTGCTCCGGGCTGGGTCTAGCCCTTCCCTGTGGTGCCGCAGGCCACCAGAGGAGCCTCACTAGCTCCAGGGACTCCAACCTGGGCCCTTCCCAGAGGGGGGAGGCTGGGCAGGTCAAATGCTGTGGGAAGGATGGAGGCCGGCTGCTGGAGGCCGAGGCAGGAGGATCGCAAGGTGGAGGCCGGCCTCCGCGACTCAGCGAGGCCCTGTCTCTAGATAGAATAAAAGAGGAGCTGGGGTGAGCAGCCCTGGCCCAAGAAGAAGAACCTGAGGTGGGGGCCACCCTGGCGCACCACACGCTCCTGAGTGCCCAAGGTGCCTGTCACACGTGCCAGAGTGGGGACAGGGAGGGAGGGTGCCCTGGGCAGCCGGTGGGGACACGCGAGGGCCTCTGACCTGCTGGGAGCCGCAGAGACACAGTCAAGTCTCGGGGGGCGGCTGGTGAGGAGGGACCCTGTGGTGTCCAGGGACGTGTCACGGAGTCCTGGAGCCGGGCAGAGGGGCCTGACTGGACTCCGGCCGCTGTCTTTGCAGGGCTGAGAAGCCGCCATCGTCAGTGACTTGGAGCCCTGGGGAAAGGGCCAGTCGTGGGACACGGACCCCAAGCCACAGCCGCTGTGCCCTGCCCTCCCGGCTGGGCGTCCACCTGGGCCTCGGGCTGGGTGGCCCCGGGCCAGGGGACAGAGCATGTGTCACGTGCAGGAGCAAATAAAGCAGATGCCTTTGTTTTCAGTCCTTCACTCGAGAAGCGCCCACTGCCGCCCGCTCTGTCCAGCTCTGTGGACCCTGCCACACAGGCCGCTGCCCCCGGGGAGTGGCCCCCCCAGCAGGGGACACGGCACAGGAACCCGCAGCAGCAAAGGCCACACAGAAGCAGGTACGAGCGAGCGGCAAGAGGGACAGCGGCTCTGTCCAGGGATGGAGCAGGACGGCCACCGGCCTCCTGGAGGGTCACCTGGCCTCGGCCCTGAGGCCCAACACACAGGCCAGGGGGGCAGGAGGTCCACGGCTGGGGACAGCTGTCCCAGAAGAGCACAGCGGGGCGGGAGGGGACAGTGGGGCTCGGGGCCACCAGGCTGAGGGGTGTGGGGTCTCAGCAGGAAGCAGCCCCGTCCCGTGTCCTTGAGCCACGTCCCTCAGCTCTCAGGTGGAGGCTGCCAGGCCTGAGCGCCCAGCACCCCTGTCCTGGGGGCTGTGGGTGTCAGCAGTGACCAGGGCGTCAACAGGGCTCTGAGTCTGACCGGGACAGGGAAGAAGCCAGGTGCGGGCACACGCCTGGGGCTCCGGAGGCTGAGGCAGGAGGATCGCAAGGTGGAGGCCAGCCTCAGCCACTTAGCGAGGCCCTGAGCCACTCAGCGAGACCCTGTCTCTAAATAAAATAGAAAAAGGGCTGGGGACGGGGCTCAGGGGGTGAGGCACTCCTGGGTTCCATCCCTGGTACCCCTCACCCCAAAAATGTGCAGGCCTCTGCCCTGGGGGTGGGTGATTCCCGTGCCTGAGACGCAGGGCAGAGGGACAGCCAGGAAACAGGGGCCGGAGTTTGGGGGAGTCAGAGGACACCCTGGGCTGAGCCCTGCAGGCAGAGAGAGAGCCTTCTGGAAGGAGCAGTCACAGGTCACCGGCCAAGTGACCTTTGGAAGTGACATCAAAGCCATTCTCCAGCTAGAAGCCATAAGCCCTTCTGAAGACCCCCGCCCCTGGCCTGTGGCCTCCAGGGCTTTGTCCAGCGTCCACATGCCAGGCCCCGTCTCCGGCCTCTGCCCAGGAATCCTGCTGAGCCTTCGTCACCTGCCCCTGGAACTGCCGGTGGCATAGAGCACGCCCCCAGCGCCCCCCTCTTTTCCCACACCCCCCAACAGATTCCCCCTCAACAGGAGAGCGACGTCTGTGACCAGGGTTTCTAAGGAACACCCGTGGTCCCCTCTTTCTTTTAAACAAGGGACAGAGAAAGTGTGTGAAGTCACTGAGCACCTGGATCCAGCCGTACCTGAAGCTAACCAAAGCCAGCAAGGTCCCCTTTCGGTCGTCTTTTGCACCTGGGTCTCTGGTGTTTGCACTGGGAGTTCCCAGCAATGGAGCCCTGTTGGGGGGAGTAAGTGGGGGGCTGTCGTCGTGCCCCGGGCTCTTCAGGCCAACAGGGTGTCAGCCTCGAGTCCTCCCAAGCTGGGGAATGGGACAGCGCCCCACCCAGGGCCGCCGCAGGAGCTGATGGTGACAGGATGCCCTCGGGGAGCCCAGCCCAGCTGACCTTCCCTCTGGGCCCGGGGCCTCCGTGGATGGACTCCTGCCCCCAAACCTCAGCCTCCCAAAGGACCAGAGTGGGTTCAGCAGGTCCATGGGGTCCTCTCCTGAACTATTTTCTGGGGATCTGGGTTGGGGTGAGAGAAGGGCCAACTGTGCCCGTGACATGGGACTTCCTGTGCCCATCTCAGTGTCTGCAGGATTCACACAGTGTGTGTGCGCGGCCTTTCTGCATGTGCATACACATGCCTCTGTGTGCGTGCCCTGAGCGGGTCTGTGCACACCTGTGTCCGTCTGTCCATGTCTCTGGGTCTCTGCACAGGCGGCCAGTGCAGGGCTGGGTGATGTGGCTCTGCCCGTCATCCCAGGGGCTCGGGAGGCTGAGGCAGGAGGATCGCCAGGTGGAGGCCAGCCTCAGTAACTTAGTGAGGCCCTAAGCCACTCGGCGAGACCCTGTCTCTCAATTAAAAAAAAAAAAATTAGAAGGGCTGGCTCAGTGGTAAAGCACCCCTGAGTTCAATTCCTAGTATAAAAAAATTCTAATTTTTCACATAATAAAAATCGTAGAGGCCGGGGCACGACTTGGTGGTCAAGGACCCGTCCCCAGCACCTCCCCAAAAACACAGTCAGACCATGGAGGAAAGGCCAAGGGGAAAGTGGGGGTGGTGGGTGGGGTGCGGTCCCCGGGGGATTCCCACACCCAGGCTCGGGCAAGCCGTGGCAGCTCCCCACCCTGGAACCTGCGAGAACAAAGCGGGTTTGCTCTTAAGGCCCAACAGGCCTCCCTCATACGCGATAACCTGGCTCATTAAATTTAATGGGCTGGTTATTCCTGTTAAGTAAACACCAACTAATTATGAAAACCATATTTGCCAAGTTTGACGATGGAACGGATGGACCAATTACACGGTTATTCAGCCTCAGAACACACTGAGTGATGAGGGAGGGTGCAGACGGCGGGCGGGGAGCCGGGATGGAAAAAGAGTCTGACGGTCAAGGAGTTCCCCGCCACTCCTGCCGACTGACTGTCTCCAGCTGCATAGGTCTCCGGAATGTCTGTATTCTGGAGAATCGGGGTCCTGGGTCCTTCAGAGCCCTTTAGCACAAGTGACAGACCCCTAGCTCCATCCTAGTGTACTCATCCCCAGCTCCAAAAAGAGTCTCTGGACAGAGAATTCCAAAGCAAGCTTCAGGCACGGCTGGATCCAGGAGCTGAAACGGTTACTGGGATCTGGATTCTGACTCTGAGCTCCGTTTTCCCTGTGTGACAGTTATTCGATTCTCAGCTTCTAAAGAGAACTGCTCTTTCCCTCTAGTTCCATTTTGGGGTTTAAAGGAAGATAAGAAATATCTCCCTAGAGCTAACAAAGTAATATCCAGAAACTCTCAAGGGAAAGCGATTGGTTCATGGTGACTTCAAAAAATTGGCTGGTCGCACAGCTCAGTGGAGAGCGCTTGCCTCGCAGGCACAAGGCCCTGGGTTTTATCCCCAGCACCACAGAATTAAATAATAATAATAATAATAATAGTAATAATAATAATTTGCCAGGGAAATGCGATATAAAAGCCACACTTGAGCACACGCATCCAGTGGCTGAGATGAAAATGGCGTCCTTAGTGTTGGTGACACTGGACCCATGGACATGGCAAAGTGAGCTGGGCGCTGTGGCACACCCCTGTCATCTGAGCCGCTCAGGAGGCTGAGGCAGGACGATGGTGAGTTCAAAGCAGCCTCAGCAACTGAGTGAGGCCCGGTCTCTAAATAAAATATAAAAACAGAGGCTGGGGATGTGGCTCGGTGGTTAAGCACCTGAGGGTTCAATTCCTGGCCCAAAGAAAGAAAGAAGCGGCCCTGGATGTGGCTCAGTGGGAAAGGGACCCTGGGTTCGATGTCAGTGTCGATCATCGATCAATGGACCACCAGGATTCCATTGTGGGGACTCCACCTTGAGCTGATCCTGATCGCCTCCCAAGACCTCACCTCTAAACCCCATAATTGGATTAAATTTCCACACTTTTCTTTTTTTCGATCTTTTTTCCAGTTGTAGATGGACAGCACGCTTTTATTTTATTGGCTTATTTTTGTATGCGATGCTGATAAATCCACATCCTTTTAAAATTCTTTCAATTTTTTCTTTTTGTTTAGCATCTGCCTATCAGAACAGTCAGCCTTTGGTTTTGGGGGAACTGGCTTATTTTGCTTAGCACGATCGCCTCCAGCTCCATCCATTTACCGGCAAATGCCATCATTTGTTTCTTTTTAATGGCTGAGTAATATTCCACAGAAATCCACATCAGTTTGATCGTCTTCATCTAAAAGGAAGCTGCTGTTTATCTGTAGCTGCCTGCAAGATTTCTTTTTTTCATTTTTGGAAGTTTGAATAAGACACGTCTGGATGTGGATTTCTCTGGATTGTTGGGGATTCATCCATTCCTTGGATCTCTAGGACTCTGTCCCTTACCGATTTCTGGAAATAGTCATTATTTCTTTGAATACCTGTTCGGCCTCACCCCCTTTCTCTGCTCCCTCCGACACCTCGACCTGATGTTAGACCTTTTGTAAGACCCAGAAGCCTTTGAGCTGCTATTTATTTCCCTTCTGTCTATTTTTTCCTGTTTTTCAAACTGGAAATTTCCCCCTTTTTCCATCCTCATATCCACTAAATTTTTCTCCTACTCTGGTGTGTTACGGAATTTTTAAAATCATTATTATTTTTCCTGCTGTTGTATGTTTCCTTTTTAAAAATTCTGAAATAGCCATTGGGCCCTCCTGGATTTCCTGAGACTTTTGCACTTGTTTTAGGAATTTTCATAACTGTTCAGCAAAGCATCCTTTCCTCTTCAGTACCAGGGATGAGGCCCGCCGTGGTCCACCACAGAGCTGGGCCCTTGGCCCTTTTTTGGATCTCTTTTATTTTGGAGGCAGGGCCTCCCTGAGTCCCAGAGGCTGGCCTCCAACTTGGATCCCTGCCTCACCTGACAAGGGTCTTGGATCAGAGCTGGAATCACCTCCGTGTGGATGGTGTTTGCTCAACAAGTGATTTTTTTTTCTTTTTTTTTTTTTGGTGGGGGGCACTGAGGTTTGCACCTGACTGTTGGGAGAGGAAAGTCCAGCTTCCCCATTTCTACCCTGTATTTTTAGCACAATGAGAGGCCATTGTCTCTGCTGGGAACGGTGGCCCACGCCTGTGATCCTGGAACTCTGGAGGCTGAGGCAGGAGGATCGCCAGGTGGAGGCCAGCCTCAGCCACAGCGAGGCCCTAAGCAACTCAGCGAGACCCTGTCTCTCAATAAAACACAGAAAGGGGATGGGGCTCAGGGGTCGAGCACCCTGGGGTCCATCCCCAGGCCCAAAAGAAAGAGGGAGGAGAGGAGGAGATGCCGAGAGTCTCACCTCCTGCTCTCTTGCTGTCCTGATTCTATCTGGGATGACTCTTCTGGAGTCCAAAGGCCCCGAGATGATGGGCCTTGGTGACATCCCTGGTGACCTG